CACCAGTCGAAACAGCAGTAGTAGTAGTAGTAGTATTAGTAGTAGTAGTAGTATTAGTAGTAGTAGTAGTAGTAGTAGTAGTAGTAGTAGTAGTAGTAGTAGTCGTAGTAGTGGTAGTAGTGGTAGTCGTAGTCGTGGCACCGGTAGTAGTAGTAATAGTAGTAGTAGTAGTAGTAGTAGTCGGAGCAGGAGTAGGAGGAAAATAGTAGTAGTAGTAGTAGTAGTAGTAGTAGTAGTAGTAGTAGCAGTCGTAGTAGTAGTAGTAGTAGTAGTAGTAGTAGTAGTAATAGTAGTCGTAGTAGTAGAGGTAGACGTAGTAGAAGTAGTAGCAGTACTCGTACTAGGGCTAGAGTAGTAGTAGTAGTAGTAGTAGTAGTAGTAGTAGTAGTAGTAGTAGTAGTAGTAGTAGTAGTAGTAGTAGTAGTAGTAGTAGTAGTAGTAGTAGTAGTAGTAGTAGTAGTAGTAGTAGTAGTAGTAGTAGTAGTAGTAGTAGTAGTAGTAGTAGTAGTAGTAGTAGTAGTAGTAGTAGTAGTAGTAGTAGTAGTAGTAGTAGTAGTAGTAGTAGTAGTGGTAGTAGTGGTAGTAGTCGTAGTAGAAGTAGTCGTAGTAGTCGTAGTCGTAGTCGTAGTAGTAGTAGTAGTAGTAGTAGTAGTAGTAGTCGGAGTAGGAGTAGCAGTAGGAGTAGGAGTAGGAGTAGAAGTAGTAATCGTAGTCGCAGTAGAAGTGGACGTAGACGTAGTAGTAGTAGTAGTAGTAGTACTAGTAGTAGTAGTAGTAGTAGTAGTAGTCGTAAGAGTAGTCGCAGTAGTAGTCGTAGTAGTAGTAGTAGTAGTAGTAGTAGCAGTAGTAGTAGTAGTAGTAGTAGTAGTAGTAGTAGTCGTAGTAGTAGTAGTAGTAGTAGTAGTAGTAGTAGAAGGAGTTGTAGTAGTAGGGGGCGGGGGGGGAGGATGTACATGGTGATGGTGATGATGCTGATGATGATGACGAATATGTTGTTGATACTGCTGATGATGATACTGATGCTGATGCTGATGCTGGTGATGATGATGCTGATGACGTTTACGACAATGCTGCTGATGTTGATGATGCTGATGACGATGACGATGATGGTGAGGCTGCTGATGGTGATGATGATGATACTGATGATACTGATGATGATGCTGATGCTGATGCTGCTGCTGTTGTAAATGATGATGATGATGAACATGATGCTGCTGCTGATGATGATGATGATGCTGATGGTGCAGATGATGCTGTTGATGATGCTGCTGCTGATGATGACGACGGCGACGACGACGACGATGATGATGAGGATGATGCTGATGATGCTGAAGATGCGGAGGGGGAGGAGGACGACGGCGACGTCGCCCACGGCGACGGCGACAAAGACAACGCCGAGGAGCAGGGTTGGCGATGACGCTGCCGATGGGGGAGGAGGATGATGAGGAGGAGGAGGAAGAAGACCAGTGTAAACCCAAGACTCATCGCTGATATTGCAATAAGCTCTCCCTGCACGTTCCCTCGTCGTAGGCTCCTGCACGGATTCTTTGCCACTGAGGGAGAAGTCCCGTTGAAATATTACCGTTTGAAAATTCAGAATTGTACCAGGACGCCATTCCTTGGACGTCAGCGCGGCGAATTACCGTCATTGTTGCGTCTGGACAATCCTGACTCGTGCCACTACACCATTCTTGGGACTTGAACGCCGCGAACCGACGTGACTGTTGCGCCCTGACATCCAAACGTCTTGCCCATACACCATTTCTGGGACGTTGGCCATGAGCAGCCTTGAAACTGCTGCACACTTTTAAGACGAACGTGCGCAACGCTAAACCGAGAGCCATATTTTGAAAAGGAGCTGCCCTCCATTCGTAAAACCCTTGCACATGTTTTAGACGAATATGCGCGGCGCTGCGGCGAGAACCGCATTTTGGAAAGGACCCGCCCTCCATCCGTGAAACGGTTGCAAACGTTGACGAATCTGCGCGGCGCCAAGGCGAGAGCCACATTCTGGAAATGGGCCGCTTCCATCCGTGAGACTCTTGCACATGCTTGTCACGAATGTGCGCGGCGCTAAAGCGAGAGCCACATTTTGAAAGCGGGTCGCCCTCCATCCGTGAAGCTGTTGTAAATCTCAATCGTCAGGATTTAGAGGAAGTCTCGGGCGAAACGCCTGGCCCGCCCTTTCGACCGACCTCGGGGTGCGGCGGGGAGGAGTTATCTTTCAGGACAAGGAAGAAGAACGGAGTAGGATCGGAAGCTTCCCGCCCCATTTCTGTGACGATTTCCGTTTCCACTACCCAAGGCAGTTTTTTGGAAGAGTTGGAGGAGGAGGAAAAGGATGGAAAGGATGACGAACTGGGAGGAGGAAGGATAGAGCCTGGTGGTGTTCCCAGATGTGCGGTGAATTCCACACGTCCAGTATTTGTTTTCAGGGGGGACACATGTGTTCATCTTGATGAGGTGGGGGCGAAGGAGATAGAGGAGGAGAGTGGAACAACTCTGTGCGAGCAGGAGGATGATCATCAGAAACAGGAGTTTGAGGAGCAATCGGAGGAGTAATCGGAGGAGGAGGAGGAGGAGAATGAGGAGGAGGAGGCGGAACAGCAGGAGAAGGAAGATGAGCATTGAAGAGGTGGAGAATGGGTGATTGGAGGAGGAGCAAGGAGGAGGAGGGAGAGGAAGAGGAGGAAGAGGAGGAAGAGGAGGAGGAGGACGAGGATGAGGACGGATGTAGGAGGAGGTGAGGAGGGAGGAGGAGCAGGAGGGGGAAGGGGGAAGGAGGACGGACGAGGGTGTGAGTCGGGAGGGGGCCCTGCGTGCCACCGATCGGGCGAGGCGGCTGAGGAACAGAGGCCGTGCCTCCGCGGCCCTGCCTCTGCGCCCGCCCCCCCACGGCTCGGGCGCCTGGGTCCGAGCAGGCAGTGTTATGGAGGACGATGGATGGAGAGGAAGCATACTGCCAAATAATTTCCAGATGTCTGAAAGATGTGTCAAATCTTTTTTTGTGTTTGTTTCGAATATGCTAAAGACATGTTTGAAACGTTTCCAGAACATGTTGTACACATTTTGAACACATGTTTAAGTGTCCATTGTCATGGTATCCACAAAGGCAGTGCGTGAACTGCATCGCGGACTGCTTCGCGCGCTTCATCGAGTTCGTGTCCGAGCACGCCTACGCGGAGGTTGCCCTCCGAGGCCGCGGGGGTGCCGGGCAGGGGAGGCGCCGGCCGTTGTCTCGACCGAGGGGCAGATCGGGCAGCGACGGCGACGTCGACGACGGAGACGAAGGTCTCCAGCAGTTCGTCTCATTTTAGAGAGCCTGGGGTCCTCTGGGCCTCGTGAGGGGTGCTCTGGAGGCCTTGGGAGCCATTCTTGGGAACTCTGGGGGCACCTGGAGCCAGGGTCTGGCAACACCCGAGCTGTGGAGCACGCGGCCGCGAGAGGATCGGGGCTGGCGTTGCCGAGTCTCGCCTGCGGACGCAGCTCTCCTTTGCTCGTGTCGTTCCCGCTGCTTTTCTTTCTCGGACTCTCCCTCTCTGTCTCTCTCTCTCTCTCTCCCTGTCTCTCTCTCTCTCACTCTCTCGTCCTCGCTCTCTGCCTCTGCCGCCGCCTTCGTCTCTGTCTCCGTCCAGCCGGGCCAGCGGGCAGGAGGGCGAAGCGAGCATCGTCGCTGTGCAGCCACGGTCTCTTCTCCCTGGCACCAATCCAGCCCTGTCATGGTCTTCTGCGGGGCAGGCCGGATTTAGTCTGTGGGCGGTTTGGGGGCGGCGGTGCTTCCGAACTCCCCCCCCCTTCCTCGCGGGCGTACGCACGCCTGCTCTAAGCCGAGCTTGAGATAACATGTGGCCGTTTTTGTTATTGCGAAGGCCTTACGGCAGGTGCCGCCGAGCCTGAGAACGACGAAAATGAAAACGAGGGGGGGGCAGGGGGAGGAGGATGAGTGGGAGGTGGAGGAAGGGTGGAGGAGGCGGATGAGGGAGGAGGAGGGGGAGAAGAATGTGGAGGAGAAACAAGAGGAGGAGAAGGAGGCAGAGGAGAGCACGAGGAGGGGGAGCAGAGGGGGGGGGGGGAGGAGGAGGACGAGGAGAATGAACAGGAGGAGGCCAGAGGCTTTCTTGGGACAGCCTGGAGCTCGCTTGAGGCCGTCTTGGGCCGTCCAGGGCTCCTCTTGCGCCGTCTCGAGGCACTCTTGGAGGCCTCCTGGGCAGTTTGGGGTATTCGTGGGCTGTCTTGGGGCAGTTTGCCCCTTGGGAGCCTCTTGGGGCTTCTTCGGGGCCTCTTGGGGGCCTCTTGGGGCTGAGAGCTCGATGTCCGTTCAGGCCCCCTGTCTGGGCACTTCTCCTGGAGCCGTCATGGGGGCCTTTTGGGCCGTCTTGGAGGCGTGTTGGGCCATCTTGGGGCCCCCTTGGGCCGTTAGGGGACCCTCTTGGGGGCCTCTTGGGCTGTCTCTGCGGAAGATGTCTCAGGCCAGGCTGGTGTGGGCACTTGCAGTTGCCCTCTTCTCTCACCTCTCTGTGCGTGGCCCTCAAGGCGCACGCGTCTTTGTGGAGTGTCCTGCGGCCAAGTGCCTTGTGCAGGCGCCATTCCACAGGGGGTGGGTATATGCTGACTGGCTGTCGTGCTCGTTCACCCGTCTCACATTTTATCAGCCATTTTTGCTTTGCCCTCTGGGCCGTGTGACCATCGTTGCGTCTTTGCTTCTTTTGAGCTCTGCAGCGCCAGTCGAAGGACGGCGCAATAGCTTCAGATGATGGGACGGTCCGTTATCAGTATATTGTCTGCCAGAACTCTTATCGACTTTGGTGCGGTATACACTACTTGTTCAAAGGAAGGCCTCTGAGTACGACCTATGCAGAGCATCGTTCCCATGACGTTTTGCGCTATCTAGTTGGTCAGCTTTTATCGCAGCGTCAATGTTGGTATCAATTGAATTCGGGTCTGCGTTGTCTCTCGGTGCGTCCCCCATTCTCAAGGTTCTTCTCTAATTTTCTTACGTCGGCTTCAGTCGGGGGGGAGGTTTCGCTTTCCGCTTCCCCTCAGATGCACGCCGACGCCCTCTTCTTATCGCTTTCTACTGTCCACTGCTATCTCCATCCATCCATTGCTTCTCTCCCGCCATCCATGTGTCCTGTCTTCTTCCCCTTCGCCTTTATGTCTGTGCATGCTGCCGCCATGAACGCAGTCTTTTTGCAGCGATTGCTGGAAGCGGCGTCATGCCGAACGGTCTTCGCCCAACGTTTGATGCAACTGAGCGCGTGTGTATTGCTTGCGGAAAGACTCTTCGCGAGCGTTTGCGGAGTGCCCGCGCCCTGGCAGAGTTGCGCGGCGCGCGGGCCCAGACCTGCAGGCTGGCGATCCCGACTTCGGCTTGCGATTTCGCCCCCTCGAAGCCCGATTGGCCTAGGTGCGGGCGGCGGCGGGCCTCGCGCAGGATTTGCATGTTGCTCCCCTGATCGAGAAGAGTAGCCCCGAGCTGGCGGGGGCGCCCGGTGTCCAGGCACGTCATTTCTCCAAGGCTCCAACAGAGATTCGTGAGTCAGAGATGCTGAGAAACAGGCGCGGGTCGAAAAAGTCTTTGCGCGTTTGGACCGCGCGCAGGCCGCGCGGCGCACGTCGCGCCAGGCAAGCAGGAGCCAAGCCTATCCTGCGCGGGCAGATGACTCCGTGACGTCGATGGCGCGTGCCTCTAGGTGCCCGCGGCTGACCCGCGACGTCTGGTTTTGTTTCGTGGTTGATGGTTGTCGCAGTCACATTCAGGTTGCTCTTCTTCGCAGAGCTCGCGGCGTCCGCGGCTACAGGTTGAGTCCTCGCGGCGGGCCCCGCTGCAGTCCCGTGCAGAACCTGTGTTCTTCTTCCCTTGCAGCGCGCGGGCGCGGATGTCCCTCTGCGGGGGTGATTGTTCCTCCTTTCCCCCCTCCCCCTCTTCTCTTCTGGCCCCGCTGCCTCTGGGGGTCGCGGGAATTTACTTCCCCGCGTCTCCCTGGAGTCGTGTCCGTTCCCTTCCTCCTTTCCCCCTTCTTCTTCATCATCGTCGTCGTCATCATATTGTTTTCTTCTTCTTCTTCTTCTTCTTCTTCTTGCGGATCAGGGGCCTCTGCGGGGGGTCGCAGCCCCGCGGACTGGCGCCTTTCACCGCGGAGCATTAAAAGGCACGCTCGAGGTGGCCAGGGCCTGGCCCTTGCGATAAGAGCAACCCATTTTTGGGGGGGCCGGCGCGCCCCTAGATGTTGGGGGCGGCCCACTTTGGGCGGGGGTAATACTTCCCTCTATCTCCTTTTTTCCTCTTGTTTCCTTCTCTCGCGTGGTCTCGCGTCGGGGGGGGGTCGGCGTCGCTGTCGGCGCCTCCGTTCTCCAAAGCAGTTGAGCCTCGAGGAATCCAGTGGTCGAGCTCGCATCGTCAGTCCTGCCCCCCCCGCGGGTGTGCGTTGTGAGCCGCGCGGTGACGTGCTCAAGCTCTCGCGCGCTTCCGCAGTCTTGCTATCTTCTCTGTCGCTACCGCCAGGTGCGCATCTTGTGCTTCAACGCGCTGCGCAGTGGGCAATCCAGGTTATATCCATGCTATTTGACGTCGGGTGCACGCGTCAGATGTCAAATCTTCTTGCCCGGCCAGGTCTTTTTCATCTTCTGTTTGCTTCCGCCGCCCATGCGTCGTGGGGTGTGGGGGGGGGGGCGCGGGGGATTTCTCAGGCAACGCCGGTTGGGGCGCCTGCAGTTGTCCTCTTCAATCACCTCTCTGCGCGTGGCGCGCGCGTCTCCGTGGAGTGTCTTGCGGCCAGGTGCCCGCGCGCAGGCGCCATTCCACAGGGGCTGGGTATCTGCTGACTGGCTGTCTTGCTCGTTCGCCCCTTTTCGCAGTCTCGGGGCGATCTTGGGGGCATCTTGCGCAGTTTTGGCGCGTCGGTAAGCGGAACAGGGAAGAGCGCCAACATCTTTCAAAAACGTATGAGGAATCAATGAATTGCATGTTGGGGCTCTCGTGGGAAAGCTCTCGGGGGCCTCTTGGGGCGCGTTGCAGGCCTCTCGGGCCGTCCGGAAAACGTCGAGGCGTCTTGGACATATTATTCGGCGATTCGGGGTTCTCTTGGACTGTCTATGGCCCCTTGAGGCGCTCTTGGCTCGTCTTGGTTTTTTGTTTGGCTTGCGCGCGCTTGCTCTAGCCCGAGCGTGAGACAACGCCTGGTCGTTTTTCTAATTCGTTGTTTTGCCGATCGGCGCGGGCCCTCGCACTTCCTCTCCCTCCCCTATAAAGTAGATTTTGGCTGTTTCTGGCGCCTGTCTCAAGCGGGTGGGGCCCCCGCCCCGCGTGGCGCGCGGTTGAAAGCAGTCGCACGAAGCAGAGGTCAGGGGCCATGCCCCCCCCCCCCCATTCCGCCCGCTGTCGAAACGCCGAAAAAAAAACATGCTGACCATTTGTTCATGTGTAACACATCCCCCGACTATCGCAGGAGTGCGTGTCTTGGCACAGGGGGCCACGAACGGGTGGGCGATGCAAGTCAGCAGTGCCGCGTATGCTCTGTCGATGCCTGCGATTGCCTCCTGCGTTTCTGCGGCAAGGGTGCCATTCGCAGCTGGATTCGATGTGTTTTTGGATGTTTTCAGCCATGGGCCCTGTCTGCAAGTTTGCTGGTCTGCGCAACTTGCCCGGCAACGTTCGTCCTTGAGGCGGGGCGGGGGATTTTCGGGCGGCCATTTCTCGGCCGTGCTTCGAGCCCGCTGTGCATGCGTTTTGGCGGTTTCAAGGGCGGGTGGGTTGATTCTGTCATGTTTACCGCAGTGACGCAGCGGAGTCGTTAAGACCTAGTTGGGTGAGGGCGGTGGCGGCAGCGATGAGGTTTGCGATGGTGATGGTGCTTCTTGGTCGCGATGGTGATGATGGGCCCATGACAGGAAATTGAACAGGGGCGACCTGTCCTCTACAACGCAAAACGAGCTCGGCTACCTGAGGCCTGGCGCAACAATCGCGGCCCAAGGCGGGCCCGCGCGCGGAACGAATAACCAGAAAAATATGTCATACCCTCGTCATAAGTTTGTTCTGCCTCAGGAACTCGGGAGCACGCGAGCGCAGAACTGCTCGAAATACGCAGAGACCCAGGTGGGATAACATAATACACGTGACAGCGGCAGAAGGAGACCATCGCGCAAACAGACGAGGAAGCAGGCTGTTTCCTTTCGTTTCCGTGTGAGGCTGAAACTGGTTTTGAACCGCTGGCGCGTTTGCCATGGCTACAGGCCGTTTTCCTTGCCGACATGCCTTGCGGATCTTCCTGGGGGTCGCGAAAGACTGGGCCAGATGACGCTGCAAGAGATCTTCCCAGAGCGTGAGCACTCGCGTCATCAGCTGAATTCGCTCGCAGCGCGCCCGACATTACAAATGGAGCTGTACCAGCGGCGCGCCGAACAGACACTGCGCGTTCAGACAGCGAGGGTGAACCAGAGCCCGATCGCAGAGCAGGTTCCAGGGCGGGCTCTGCAACGGGACTTCCCCGAGATCCGCGCGTAGGCTGGTTGCACCTTCAGGATGTGGTATGACTTCAGCGCTAGGCTGAGGGCCATTTGGGAAATGAGGAGGAACTGGGCCATCACGTGCCGCCTGCTTGGCAGTTCAGCGCTTCTCATTCTTGCGTAAACATTCGTCTCGGCGCACGGCTCGAAGTTTCGCCAGCAAGGGACTATGACCGTCAGATACTTAAGCTTCGCCACGTGCATCCCGAACTCAGTCTTTGTGCAGGGCCGCTGGCGCAGACGGCCGCGCAGCCGCGGACACCGCAGCGCGCGCAGCCGCAGCAGCCACAACAGCAACGGTGCGCCTCGGCACGTGCTCCTGGATCGCCGCCCGCCGCCACAAGGGAGGGGCCATCAGTTGGAAACTGGAACATATACATTACCAGTGGCGGGTTGTTCTTCAATCCCAACACTTTTGAGGGTCGGGGACGACGTCGGGGTGGTGTGGTGTATACTTTGCTGTCCCAGTTCCCAGGGGGAAACATAACAAATGTATACGCCAGGATCCGTATACACCAGGATCCGCTTTCGTGTGCGCGTTTCAGTGCGGGGCCGGAACAAGCGTCGGTGTATAGAGTCTGGTTCCTTAATAATCAGCGGCTGTGGCGCTCACCAGTGTCTAGCAAACAGTACGGTGTGGCAGTACCCCGAATTCCCTTGCGAACCTTATCTTCAGTCGTATACATACATGTATACATGTAGTTTGCTGTGTTGTTTGTGTTTTTTGTTTTCCCCTGGGGGTTTTCCTGGCGGGACCTCCGACAAACAATCAATTCGGCTTTTAAACAGGTTTTCTTGCGTTTTCCTGCCGCCCCGAGCTCTTGGGGGACCCCCAATAAAGACATTTTTTTTCTCCCCCTCTCTCTGCCGTTTTCAAGGTTTCTTCTGCCACCCTGGGCTCCGGGGGGGGCTCCCCATTGAACAGAAACCGTAATCGGATGTTTGTTCGTTGGTGTTCCAAAGGTTTTTTTTTGGCCACAACCATCGAACAACATTCCACTTTGTTGTAGGTTTGTCTTTGGTGGTCTTTTGAGTTTCTCTGGCCACCCCCGGTCCCGGGGGACAGGGGGAATTCCAAACAACAGCCCAACTCTGGCGTTTATAGGTTTTTTGGTGTGGGTTTTGCGGTCACCGCAGGCTCCCAGGTAAACAGCCAGAAAGCAATTGCCACTCCGGGTTTTATCGCATTTTTGTTCGGGGCTTTCCAGTCACTCCAGATTCGTGGACCGAACTCAAGGTTTGTTCTTTGTTTGCTCTTTGTCTTTCCTTGAAGCTAAACAAATGCAAATGGTTTGTTCCATTGGTTCTGGGGGGCAGCTAAACAAATGCAATCGTTTGAGCCTTGTGTTGATGAATCTATGGGCGTGTGTTTGAGGGAATCTAGCGGCGGTCCGCCGTCGTACCAAGCATATTGCTGGTCATGATGATGAGAGTGATGGTGATGATGGTGATGCCCACATTGATCATGACGTCAGCGATGATACGCACTACCCATTTCAGTAATCGAACAACTACGCCCGAAGAGGCGGTTCGAAGCGCAACCAACTACGCCGTTGCAAACAGTTCATCACGTTTTATGGGAACGTCGCGATGAACCAGGTTTTGTCCATTATTTCCGCGCGAGCGGACAGGCGAATGCTGACCCCTGTTCCGACCACGCCAAGGTGCCCCCCCTTTCCCCCTAGAACACTAGCGGGTTGGGCCAAGAGCGGTCGGATCAAATATCCGGGATTCTAAGTCCGCGATTTCTTCCATATATATATATATATGTATATATATATATATTATAACGGGACACTTGAGAATCCAGACGTCAACGTAAAGACACACGGTTTTAGAAATCCTATTGGGCGGGGTCTTGCCCTGCCGATGCAAGATGATGAAGTTCCAATTCATGATGTTTTTTGGGGTAATGCCGATGTATATGCTTCTGCATACCTTTTCTTCAGATTCTACCCCCTTGGACCTTTCCCTTGCTGCAGTCTTGCTCGGATCCAGCTGTGGTCACCAAGGGGCCAGGAAGCTCCCAACCGCTATTAATCCTCGGCCCTCGAACCTCGATCCTCGAATGTGCCCGAGCTCCTCGCAATCTGTTCGAGAGGCCTTCGCCATTCCGCTGATCCCCATACCAGGGAATTCGCCACGAGTCGTGCCACCGTGTCCGGCCTGTGGGTCAGGAGCCTCGGGATTACATATGACTGTCTTTTGGAGTGCCTCTCAGAGACCTCTCGGAGGAGGGCTCTTTGGGGCATCTCATTAGCTTTTGGGGCCTCTTGGGGCCGCTGAAGGGCGCATCCCCTCTTGGGCCCCTCATGGGGCCCACCTGGGCCGTCTTAGGGGCTCCTGGGGCAGCCTTGGGGCCCTTTGGGGACATCTCGGGGCTCAATTAGGCCGTTTTGGGGCCCACTTGGGTTTCTCGTGGGCCGTGTTGGGACGATCTTGGAGGCTCCTTGGGCCTTAGTTGACGCTGTCACGACGACAAAGGCTCGTACGTATGTCGACCGTGTCCGTTTTCCAAAAGTAATGGGGCTATTTGTGCCTTTTGGGCCCTCTCATCGGCCCTCTGAGGGCATTCTCGGGCCTCGCAGGCAGTCTTGAAGCCATTTCGACCGTCTCTTGGACTGTCTCGGCGCTGACGAGGCCGTCCTGCGGCTTCTTGGAGGCCCTGGAGAGCGAGCCCCCTAGGAGCTCGTACCCCTCCCCCCTTCCCCCCCATCTAATGCGACTTTGGGCCCCAGGCGGAGGGAAACGAACGGGGGAGGGGGACAGCCAATCATCAAGCAGTGGCGAAGCATCCTGGCGTGCCTATAGCCCTACCAAACAATGTTCTAAGAACTTGTTGTGGTTTCCGCGACAGGTTCTTAGAACATTTCTTGCTCGGACTGTCTTGTCTTATCGCATGAGGCCTACCTTCTAAGAACATTGCTTTTGTTTTTTCGAGCATTTTTGGGTTCGAAGAACGTTTCGTGGTAGGAATCAGGAGTGCCGGGACGTCGGTCCCTGCTCAAGATCATCTCACACGCCGTCTCGCGCGGATTTCTCCCCGCGCGTCCAGGCGAGGGCTTCTGCTCCTCGGCGAAGGCGTCCGCCGCGGCCGCCTGCCTGAAGCCCGCGCTCTTCGCCCTGGTCGCGCGCTCGGCCGAGCGGCCGGCCGCACGGTTGCCGCAAGGCTCCCTGCTGCGTGGTTCGGGGAGGCTTCCGTTGGGCAGGCGAGGAGCGGGGGTCGAGGGCCTGGTCCTCGCGCGGGTCGCGCGGCCGCGGTCGCTCCTGCCTCGCCCCCGTGCTCCCTGCATCCCCCTCCTAAAACGACGCGAAGATCGGGACAAAATCGGATCGGGATAACCCGAAATCTCTGAGAGTCGGCGGGTTAGGAGGATGTATCGGGCGCCGCGGCCGCTCCAGAGCGTTCCGGAACGCTCTGAGAGCGCTCCGGAACGTTCTGGAGCGACTTATCCCGACCCTAGCAATTTATCCCGACCCTAGCCCTGTTTCACCTCCCCTCTTTTTGAGGGGTCTCCCGACGCTCCTGGCTCGGCGGGTGGCGGAGGTGGTGCTCCGTGCGCCCCCCCCCCCCCGCCGGGCCCCTCCCACGGAGACTGAGAGCGGCTCGTCGTCCAACCCAGCGCTGCATCGACCTCCCCCCTCCCCCCCCCCTTTCGGATGCAACTCCTGGGAGGTCAAACTCTGTTTTCGCCCTGGTCCGAAATTCGGCTTAATCCAGCCTGATCCCGCTTAGTCCGGCCTAATCCCGCTGAATCCCGCTTCATCCGGCTTAAGCTTGCTTGGTCCGAGGCCCATTCTGGCGTAACAGCCCCCCAATGGGGCTTCATCCTCCTTAATCCTTCCGACGAAAACCTCCCAGCAGTTGCCTCCTCATCCACCCTTCCCCCCCTCGCCGCCGCCCGTGCCCGCGAACGCGACATGCGCGCCGTGGTCCAAGGTGGGCCGCGTCGCCCTCGCGGTGCGGCTGCTCGGAGTGCTCTCCGTCGTCGCAGGCGCGCCGAGCTCGCGCGCTCGGCTCCGTCGTCGTCGCTGTCGTCGTCGTCGTCGTCGTCGTCGTCGTCGTCGTCGTCGTCATCGTCGTCGTCGTCGGTGGCGGCGGGGGTGGCGGCGGCGGCGGCGGCGGCGGCGGGGTCGTCGTCGTCGTTGTCATCGGAGTCGTTGTCGTCGTCGTCGTCGTCGTCGGCATCGTCGTCGTCGTCGTCGTCGTCGTCGGTGTTGTTCCCCCCAACCGTAGTGGAAACACTTTGGGGAATGGGGGAGCAAGACGAAGAGGAGGAGTGGGAGAAACAAGGAGGAGGAGGAGGAGGAGGCCCTTCGGGAGCCTCTTGGGGCACTCTTGCTGCCCCCTGGGGACCTCTTGAAGCCAGCTCGGGGGCTCCCTTGGGCCTGTTGGGGCCATTCGGGGCCCCTTGGGAGGTTCCTTGGTCGGACACTCGTGGCAGACCAAGAGCAGGGAAGAAGCACGAGACCGGCCATTCATCCGTCGGAGGGGCTGCGGTCACACACACACAACAAAGCGTAACAACGTGGAGGCAAGGAGGCAACAGCAGACGGCAGCGGCAAGGACAAGGAGAGAAACAGAAGCAGGGACGCACAGCACGAGGAGGCAACAGCAGAAGGCAGAGGAAAGGACGAGAAGAGAAGACAGAGAAGCAGGGACGCATAGCACGAGAGAAGCGAACAAACGAAGGAATAACAAACTAGCAAGATCCCTCCATCAACAGAATAATGTGGACTTTCTATCACCACACGATCATAGCACACGACACTCGGACATCCGGTCCGAAACATGTCCCCCAATCACGCAAACAAATACGAACATATGCAGCATGCTCCCCACCATCGCCAGAAGAAACCGATCCTTCAAACGCCAGAAGAATATAACCGCGACAATCGGACACCCGGTCCGAAACATGTACCGCAATCATGCAAGCAAACGTGAACATAGGAACACAACATGGGTGCGACCGTGCCAAACAGAACGCCTGCTTCAGAAACGAAAGGTAAGGATGCTTCCGCCAAGCACGTTTCACAGCGCGGTCCAGAACCGACCAGGGGAACTCAAGACAACGCAATTCAACGAGGACATTGGCGAGAAGAGAATATGGGTCAGAATCAAGACATCGATCAATAGTTTGCGCGAGATGGCCCTCGATTGCCCCTATCATCACAGAAACAGGCACGTTGCTGTGAAACGCCTGGAACTGTGGCCGGGTCAGAGATATGGGCGACTGACGAAGCAGATCGCCATTGCACGTGTAGGGCGCAAGGGACACGCTCTCACCAGACACATGGACCTCCAAACCAACAAAAACAGAAACAAAAACAGAGGCATCTTCAATTTTCAACGACAAGGCTTTAACGCGCTGTTTCCTCCGAGCCCTGGTCAGAACAACATCTGTGTACATGCTCTCCACGTGATGAACGAATCGCTTCGATAGAGCGTCGACTTCAGGAGCACAGAACCGATACCGGAAGACTTGGAGATCCGGCGTCTCTTTGGAGGACGGCCTAACTCATAGTCGACCGCACATTGTGGAGGGAGCCAAAAACAATGAATACCATAAATGTCATCGACCCACCGGAGTCTCAGAACAGACACGTGATGCACAAAATGTAAATCGACACCTTTCGGGAGCCGTGTGCTGTCATATTCAAGAAAACAACAAGCAAGATTACATTCGCCTGGGGCATGGGGGCATCCTTGGGTCATCCCTTTGCGAGGAGCCACAAGCGCATTACCGAAATAGGGGAAACCATGAGCAAGATCAAAATTGACAAGCCAAGGGATGTCGGACACATGTAAGATGTATTTATCCGTCGCCAAGGTACTCGAATTGTGCGGCCGAGCGTCGTCAACACCAGGCTTAGCCAGGTTCCGCAAATGACCTTTCAAACGCTCGGGAAAAGCACATAAGAGCACCACCTTGCGGAACCAGTTTGCGGCTGAACCGGGGGACCTGGACATACATCCTGCGAGTGCTGGCAACATTCTTCCACCTACTCAACAACCAATCAAGAGCACGGTTAATCAATGCCCAAGGGACGTTGTTGAAGAAACCGTCAATGTCACGCTTGAAAGGCATGAACACGGGAATGAAGCCTCTCCGCCTATTTTCAGCAACATCAAGATTGAATGTATGAAAACCACCAATGACCCTCTGGTACGACAACACAATGATCGAATCAGGGTAAACAAACCGGACCATAAAGTTGAGAGCACGGCACAACAGGGAGAACAGAGGCTTCAATCAATGAGACCAATATGAACCAACCGGGCGGCTCTTACGAACAAGGTCAGAATGTTTGGGCCAAACGTCGATCATGCCAAAAACATGTCTTTCAGGAGAAAGGCACACAACGCCAGTGTATCTCAAACGCTCCTGGGCCTCGCGGAATCGATTATGCAAAGCGGTCCACCCCATGAAATAATGCACGGGACGATTGCTACTGAACGCGCAAGCTCTAGCCCGGATCTGCCACCCGCGAGGACACGATATAGCAACGGAGGAGGAACATGTCAATCGGCGTGATGACGGCACGCGAAAACAACGATTTCTTCCAAGCGTGCTCAAGGACCCCTCGCTGCCGAAAATCACCGGCGTTGTGGTACACCTCACGGAAATACGTGTGGGCATTTGAAGCGTTCCATTGCACGTGGACACCGGCCTTGCCAAGACGGCGAGTAAGTGCCTCCATGTTGTCATCAACGCAATTCATCACGTGCCCTTCTGACCACACGCACGGGCCGTCATAGTGAAAGAGACGCTGGATGGCACCATTAAGACGACAATTCTCTGCCCTCACACACAAGTGACCGTCATCTGGCAAAGGAACGCCCAAGCATGATTTCAAATCACTGCAAGTGCATGACAAATTATAGGACTGTAACCGTTTTCCCCACCATTTGGAGTTCACAAGAACGTCCTTGGGAGAAGGCGAGAAGAGAGGACGAACGTGCACGGCAACAGCATGACCACGAGGGATAGAAGGAGCACACATGTTACGAAACGACCTCATGATGACGTCATGCACGCGACAACCAGGAAGATCAGGCAATTTGACAACAAAATTGGTGTGATGCGTGCGTTTCGTGTCCCCCAAGACCTGAAATATCCTCTGGCGGGCAAGAAACAAGTTGGGACCGACGAGGTTCTTCTCAACGCGATCAACAAGCATGTTAACGAGCCCTGGCCGCCGATCAATAAACGACTGCAGAAATTTTAAGCTGTTGTTGCCCTTGCGTCTCAGCTCCCCCAGACGACACACTAAAATGGACAACTTGGACTGAAGCAAATTAGCCGTAAACGTATCGTGCACAGCAGGGGCATCATCGGCAGCGCAAATATGGACGCGGGTGTAAGAAGGGACGGGGCGCCGACTGTAAGACAACTTATTTCGACATTTAGACCCCTCTCCCCGAATGGCAACAGATATATGGCACTGCTGACGACATCCCTGTTTGACATACTTGTGAACGAAGGGGGTATTCAGCCGGGCCTGCAATGCGCTCACAAACTGTTTCTCCATGAACCTCAACTCCACATCCGAGCTGGAAGACAAATACTTAAGAGGCATTTGGATGAAGGAACCAACGCCGAGAGACCGCATTTTGCAATAAGCAGGGATCTGGGAATCTTTCCGGCACGAGAAGAGAACATAATGGTGTTCATTGGTACTACCGTTCGAGAAAAGACCTGTTAGATTTCCCCACATACATGATATTGTGACTCATTGAGAACCAAACATAAATCACATTACACGAAGCATGGGAAACAACGCGTTCACATTGAACAGACGAGCGCGCATGATGAAGCGTGTTCAACATTTTCTGATTCGACCGGAACTTCGACATTCCCATCCACCTCACAGCAACAATGGATCTTATGTGGTTCAGAACGTGAACAGCAGATGACAACCAAGCTTTGTCATGCGACTTGGTGCTACGCTTACAATAACGATGCTCAAACAAAACACGGAGGAGGGAGGAGGAGATGCGCATGACATGTTGAAACGCCTTGCATTGAATCGCTTCGCTCATTCCGCCGGGCCGTGATATGGCATCGCTGGTTTTTGTCTGTGTGTTCGTTGCCCATGTTGCGCTCTTGGGGGCGGGTGTCGTTCGGACGCGTTGCGTGGGGAGTTTTGATGGTGAAGCAGTTCCCTGGGGGTCGTCTCTCGATGGGGCGAAATAGAGTCGTCGTCAAGATGCTTCTTTGGGGGGCCTCTTGGGGTCTGTTGAGAGGCCGTTCGGGGGCGCCTGGGAGACATGTTTGAAGCCTTCTGGGGCTTCTTTTGGGCCTCCTGGGAGTCTCCTGGGGCCTCTTGGCGACATCTTGGGGCCTCTTGGAGGCCTCTTGGGGCCTCTTTGGGACCTCCTGGGCGCCTTCTGGGACGGAGGGCTCCATTTTTGAGTTCTCGGTATCCCTCCTGAGTCCCTCTTGGGCCCGTCTTGGGGCCTCTTGGTCCGTCTTGGGCGGCACTTGGGCCGTCTTGAGGGCTCTCTTGGGTCGTTTCGGCGCCGTCTTGGGAGCTTCGTGGGCCGTCTTGGAGCGGTCTTGGGGGCCTCTTGGGCCGTCTTGGAGCGTCCGGAAGCCGAAAAAGCCAGAACACAAAAAACATCGAAAAAAACAATGAAAATCAACGATTTTGGCCTCTTGGGGCTCTCTTCGGAGGCCTCTTGGAAGGCTCTTGGGGCGTCTTGGAGGCCTCTTGGGCTGTCTTGGGGGCCTTTTGGGCCGTCTTGGGGTCATCTTCGGCGTCTTCGAGCGCTCTTTGGGCGTCTCGGGGGCCTCTTGGGCAGTCTTGGGGGCCTCTTGGGGCACTCTGAGCGCGCTCTGGGGAGCCTGAGAGGCCGCACCCAGAAGGAAAACCATCTCTGAGTAGACTTGGTCGGGCGGCGGTCGGGCGGCGGTCGGGCGTTGGTCGGGGTACTTTTCGCCGGGGGACCCCCAGGGGCCGCCCCGCGCGCGCGAACTAGAAATACTGTTAA